GATTATTAAATGTGTATAAAATATTATATGGAAAATGTTTAGCTTCTAAAGTTTCTAATATTTAGATTGACACTGTATCTTTTTCTACTCACCAGAACTGTTAGATGTAAAATAAACTTGAAGAGAAATATAAAATTACGAATGTAAATAGAAAAATAAAAATGGATAAATCCCATTCTTTTTGTACGGTGTTTAGAAAACAGAACAAGCAATAATTGACAAATTCTGTACATTTTAACATTTTGTTTTATTACTGAACATTTCCACAGACCCCAAGCTCTCAATTTGGAAAACCTTGTTAACTTGTTTTATGATGCATAAACATCACTTATATATTATTCACTGGCTTTTTTTGTAGGATGAACGGGAGAAACAACAGGGAGAATGACAGAGGACCAAGACATGACCCATAGTTCCCCATGACATGTGCACAACAGTGTAGCAAATCTGCGCCAGGACTTTTTTACTGAAAAACGAGACAAAAGCACTGATTATAAATATTTTTTTTGGCAGTGCTCCTCATTAAAATGACCATGCAGGATTTCCTGAGCATTTCTTGTTAATTACGCCGGCATAATTTAGTAGTAGATGACAGCTAATGATTCAGACAGAGGTGCGGTTGAGGACAAAGGAAAATTCGTTCCTAGTTCATTACAAAAGCCTGATTTAACCACATTACAATCACACAGTCTGAATGCGGCAGAGAAACAATACAGGTGATAGAAACTTCTGCCATTAATACTTCACCGCCTTAAAGAGAAAATAAGTTTCCAAATTATATTTATCAGAAAATGAGAAAAACAACCCCAATAAAGCATCCAATTTTCTCGCTCGGCAAATAAATTGCTCAGCACTCAGAATAGCGTGCTCATGCTGGAGCTAACGCGTGGTGAGATGTGGTCTGCTCATTGTCACCTAGTTCCTCATCATTTGTCTCATTTCCTCTTGCTGGGATTGTTACCTCCTGCACGAGGAGCGCATTATTTCCAATCAGTTCAATAAGAGCTGAGCGTATCTCTACTGACACATGGACACAAGTCATCCACGAGATTATGAACTCCGAAAAACAACATTAATTTACATCCTATAAGCAAATATTTTCTCATGTGTGCAAGAGACACGACGTGCAAAAACAAATGCTGAAAATACAGTGTTTTGGGTATGAATTTCCTATTTTAGTTTGCAGGGAGCTGTTAAAATTTCTGGGTAAAGAGATGCGTTGGGATGTGATGTCATGCCTGCAAATTCGTCTAAGATCTATTGAGTGATCTGCCACATCACGGTCAAATTACGGCCAAGAATGTCATTCTGGCTATGGCATTATAATGCAGTGAAATCAATAACGCTCCACTACGGTAATCCATCTGCACTTCAGCACTGACCTATTGGAGTAGCACTGTCAAATGCTAACCCGCTCAATACAGTCAAGCCGAGCAAGATATGATATGATAATGAAGGTCAGATCACTGATCACAGGCTGCACAGAGGTCAGTCTGTTACTGCGTAACATATCCATGAAGCATTCAAAGTGTTTATAAGCACTCAAAAAAATAACTTAATTAAACTGAAGAGAAGTCTTCTTTGCAATTAGGCCTTTTCAACCAAAATAACCTTTTTAAATGGATTTGGGTTAGTTTTCAGAAGCTTAAATTCATTTAGTTATGCCTACTAGATGCAATTAAATCTGAAGTGAGATTCAAACTCAGGTTAATGGCACACATGAATCATTCATTACCATGTTCACTCCTCTGAAAACGTCACACTGTAATGCTGTATTAAACTTTTGGAAAGTTTGGAAAATAGATTTCGCAAAAATATTACAATTCAGATCATTGTTAAAATATGATGTGATTTCAATTTGTCCTTTCTCTTTGGAGTGTTACAAGCTCTTGGT